TATTCTTGACTAGCTCTTGTGACAAAACCATTGAGATGTTTCGCAAATTATCTTATGATTTTTGTGTTTTTGAGCGAGGTCTTTAGATTTGTCATCGAAAGGGCTTCTCTGACCGTCTCTCCTCATTTTCCATAGTCTCTCGTTAGAATAAATCGTTGAATATCTCAGCCACGCTTTCAAAGGATGGTCCAAAATTTGTGATAGTTAATATGTGACACTTAGAGACTAGCTGTGCCAAATATGAGAAAAATCAGCTTCTAGAAACTTGAGATCTTGCATTTTTACTACAAATTATGTACAACTGTGTTTTGTATATGCAACAAATTCCATAACTCCCTGCTAGACTCTCGACTCTCCCCGATATCGCTCTTTTCCAATCGTCCCCTAATTAGTAAAACAAACCTTTCAAACATTTTTTTATCGCTGATAATTTCCCTTTCTTCAGGCTGCTGATAACGCCGAATTTTTGTCATTTCTGACTCTTCTGATCTTTTACGGAGTTTTATTTTGAAAGTCGTATTATTATTTGATGATTTGAAGGGTTTTCCTTGTCTGTATTACATGAGGCGTTCCATATTTACATTACCTTGGGTTTTATTGCGTGTTTTTGAAGGCGATGCCTGTTTGCGAAATAAAAATCATTTACCATGGTGAACGTGGGAGACCTGTAAGTGTTTGGAAAGGTGTTTTTACAGAGGGAGTTTGGCGTAAATATGGGTGATTTTGGACGTTATTTCGAAAAATGGGGAAGTTATAATAGTTAAAATGTCATCATATTTCTAACAAAAATGCCCGAGGCATAGAGCTCAGATTTTCTTCAAATTTTGTAGATTTACTCCTTATAGGGCCAACATCATCTCCTAAAAATTTTAGCTTTTCCTTTGCAAGGAGAGCCGAGAAATTCAAACATCTTTTTAGACGAGAGACTACGGCCAATGATGAGAGACAGCCAGAGAAAAAACGCTTTTTTTGACGTATTTTTTTCAAATAGCGCTTGGAAAAGATAGCCTTGTTTCTGCACGTTTTTTGCAAGTTATCTTCCAAATTTTCCATTTTTTTGAAATGAAATTGGCCAAGCGTTGCTGACTCAACTCAAAACCAAACTAAAATTGCGCTTTTCCGCCGTGAATCAGCTGATTTTATCGTATTCGTTGTAATGATGACTAAAATTTTCGGAAATGACTGTGCATTGTTTTTGTCAAAATCAAGATTTTTTAATTTTCAAAATAAAATTTTTTTGATATTATTCATTAAAACTGATTACAAATGTTTTATAAAAATGAACATTCCAGTTGTTTCTACGTATTTTACAATTTTTTTATGATATTGTCCCCCCAAAATAATAAAAAAAAAATTTTTTGCTTTAAAATCACATAAACATCATCTAAAAATCATTCTCTAACCACCTCTAGCCGTCTGTCTTGTTTATCAGAGTTCTCTACCCAATTACTCACCCCACAAAGCAAGTAACCGGTAGTTTTTATCGCTCCGCTAACTATACGTTGAAGATAAACGCCTACTGTTTTTTGAAATTTTGAGTGACTCACCCCTTATTCATAACAGAGACGTTTACGTTAGAAAAACAAAAAAAAAGTTAATTGTCCCGTTTTTTGGTTTTTAATCGGATTTCAAAGTTCTGGCGAGCAGTTCAGCTAGACTAAATTTTTGTGATAGTTTTTTTGCAAAGCTTTTTTTACTTGCTTACTTTTGCAAATGAAAAAAAGATATTAAAAGAAAAATTTCTCTGGCCGTCTCTCCTCATTTTCCATGGTCTCTCGTCTACAAAGGTTGTTGAATATCTCAGCTCGGCTTGCAAAGAAAGAGCTAAAATTTACAGGAATTAATATATGGCCTAGATAGATGGTACATGCAAAATTTCATCAGATTCCGAGCATTGCCTTTCGAGAAATTACATGTTGTTATAAAATTGACCACAATTCCCCTACTACAACAAAAAAAAATTTTCCATTCGTTCTGCTGATTATTACTTCAATTATTCTTACCAGAAACAGATGAAAACTCAGTAAATTTACTTTATAAAGTCCCAGCCCGCTGATATTAGCCCTGATCTCTAGTTCCATTGAACTTTTTTCCCTTCCCCGAGGGCTCTTGACAGTTCATCAAAAAAAATTCTTTTTATCTCATCGAAAAAGTAAAGTTTTTTTCCCAAATCCCCTATCCAAAAAAGCCCCTCTGTGAGCGTGTTTATCCAGTGATTCAGAGAAAGTTTGATATCCAAAAAAAGTGCAAAAAATATTTTTGGGAGATAAAGCGAGCTGTTCTGGGATCAAACAAACGGGATTTATTCACGTTTTACGTCCGATTTGTAGGCTTAATTAGGTGGGAAAAGGTCGGGGATTGGGAAATAGGGGTTGGAAGTATTGCAGGTGATGTTAGTCATCAAAAAACGGGCAGGGTTTTCAATTAGGTGGATGGATTTTGACTAAATTTTTTAGAAATTTTAAGGAAGCTCAAAATAAAACTATTCTTTCCAAATTTTGCTTATTGGCTCTAAATACAGTGGGTGACCTGATCCAATGGCAAAAAACTACCATTTTGCATCCGGGAAGTATCAAAAATGTGGCAAAATGCATCCCTCTCCAAGTGAAAAAAACTCGGATTTCAAAAGCTCTTTTTGTGAGGGAAAGGGCGCGCCCTTCAAAACGAAGTTTTTTTCACTTGCAGAGGGAAGCATTTTGCCACATTTCTGGTACTTCCCGGATGCAAAATGGTACGTTTTTTGCCACTGGATCAGGTCCCCTACTGTAGGCCATTCGTAAATCCCTGAAAATTTTAGCTCGCTCTTTCAACTTGCACCTGAAATTTTCCACAAAATTAATTTTGCGAGAGAGCACGAAAAATGAGGAGAGCCGGTCAGACAAGAAAATTTTAATTTTTTCTTTCTTGTCTAGACGAAAAACCACAAATTTTTTTGTCATTTTTATGACATGTCTTTGGTCATAATAACTGTTGCCAGCGTAAATGAGGGGGAGGGAAATGGGGATAGTCTTTTTTTCCCTGTTTTATATCAACGTATGATGATAAAAGAGTGAGCTCCACGTTCCACTATTTGCATATGAATCAAATCAGCTCTGGAATCTTTTCTGACAAAGAAAAATGGAGGGAATTGATCTGAAACAAAAAAAAATTTTTGAGATTTTTGATGATTTTTTACACAAAAATGTTTTTTTTATCAATTTATCAGCCAATTTTTCGATTTGATTTGTCATGATTATTACAAATAATACTGATTCACACTTTAATTTATCCAAAAACCCTATAATTATATCGAATATTAATCAGGATTTGCATTTTTTTCCTCATTTTTAATCTAAAATTAGGTCTGAACCTCTTTCTAGTCCAATATTTGTGATGATCATGTCCAAATTGACGTTTATTTTTATTATTTGAACATCTTTTTATAGCCTAAAAAACATTTCAGGACCAAATTTTTTGATTTTCCTCAAAATTCAAAAGTTTGCCCTAAGGCTATTTAACCCTCTTGACCCTAAATCTTCGCCTGACGTCAGTCATCGTTCTTTCCCAGACTTTTTATGAGCAGAAAGGATCTTTTCTGATTTAAAATCCGGGTTGAATCATCGAAACTGTACGAAAGAAGGGATAAAGCGCCTCGAAAACTTTAAACATGGCCCAACTTTTTCTTTACTTTTAAAGTCGTTCCCTCCTGATTTTGGAATAAAACTACGGTCCAATCAGATAAAACCCCCACTTGTTTTGCATATTAGAGACCGAAATTATCTGTTTTATCACATTTTTGCCTACTATAATATAAAATTTTTCGTATTTTTTGTCAAAACAGTTCGAAAACTGAATGTAGGTTCCCTCAAATTGTACGCAGTATTGTAAGAAAGGATTTGGGATTACGTGAAAAGTCTATAGAGGGATTATTCGGGCGACCAAAAACAGGGAAAATATTTGCGTTCGCCTTGATTCGAAAGGCAAATATTCAACAATTTCATCGCGATTGCAAAAAATAATGTGACAAGACAGGCTTGGTGACCTTAGGATTCGATGATGAGATCGGGGCTTTCACGTGAGAAGCGATTCGGAAATTCTAAAAAAAATTGAAGAAAGGATGACTTGGGATTTTTGAGCCGCTCTCAGATTAAAACAGTTTTACCATTGACCACGTATTTTACCATTGATATGATTTGAGACCATACCCTTTCTGTTTACATGTTTTTCAAACGCTTTTGACTTGATTACCCCCTCTTGTAACCATCTTACTTTAGCCCACCTAGTATCAAGTATAATGTTGGAGATCTCCGTGCAGACTGAAGAAATCGACTTTTTGTTTTTATGACACATAAAATGCCTCATTGGCAATAAAATTAACCACTAATCTTGTTCTTATCGCAATTCTTCCTTTTGAAACACCCACATTTTATGTATCAGCCTTTAAATAGTCATCCTCTAAAATAACATCGCATTCGGCCCAAACTGTTCTATTTACAAATTCCAACTTTTTGGAGCTTAGACCGTATTTAATTATCTTTTAAATGAGCCCACAACCAAGTTTCTATCTCAATTCTAACAATCAAAAATTGTTATATTATCCATGACACCTGATCCTAAACCTTGAAAACATATTTTCGGCCCAATTCTAATTTCCCTCCGGTGCATTCGGCTCATCCACCGATCGAACCTACTTTACACTACTCTCGGGTTTATCGTTCTTGTTCGAAACCGCTCGCTTGCAATGTTTTTGTACCCAATTTGTCGATTCGCCCACCAAAAAATTCCTTTTCCAATCAAAGACGGGGAACGAAAAGCGGTCGGTCAGTTTTCGTCCCCTTTTCTGGCGGTTATTACCTAATTTGGAAGTCTTCTAGGCGAGTGAGTCAGGCGATGGGTACTTGTTTTCCTTCCATTTACGTGTAACTTTCACCATTTCCCAACATCTTTTCAAAGCGACAGTTTTTTGTTTTTTCCAGAATTTCGTTATTTTCTGATGGATAAAGGTGCCGAATCCGAACTGAATGTGCACTATCAGCTGTGAAAAGCTGTTTTTAATCTTCCTTTTACTGTTTTCAGCGAAAAACATTGCTTTACCTCGATCCCCACGCAGATTTTATATTGCACTTGATGTTTGATGTTGAACTCGAGATTTTACGCATAAATTCGTTATATTTTTTAAACCGACTATTGTTACAGGGCTGGCACCACCTACATGAAGAGAATTGATCAGATTTGAAGAAGGATTTTACTAAAAACGGAGTCCTTTCCCCTAATTTCACCTGCCAGACCTCGAACTTTGAGTCCACCAAAATTCCGAGCACCCTCGATTGGATTACTCTGCGGTAAGCTGTTCAAAATATTATTCATGCACTCTTCTAGATGTTTCACGCACTTTCCGACATTAGTTCCGCCTTTTTCACCGGGTTTTGATATTGTACTTGGTATGCATTCTGCTTTAGTTGTTGCAGCCTCATTTTTGAAGCAGTTGACTTACTTCATTGCAAGGAGCTGCACGATTTAAGCATGCTTTAGTTTGTAGTGTCATCTTTTGTCCCAGTCAAGTGGCTTTTGCACAGTGCATCACGGGAATTTACCTAATTTAGGTATTAAAATAATTGAAAACATGCATAACTTGTATCCATTTGGTTTGTAGTTGATTATAAATGCTGTTTTCAGTGGTACGACAACAATCTGGTCACTGGAGTCCCAATTCTCTTCTCGACGAACATTAACAGCCATTCCGTCAGGTAGGATAATATAATTTTCTGTTTTTCTCTTGAAAACTTTGGTTCTTATGACGTTTAGTGTTGCCAAATGGAAGAATAATGTCTCTAATATAATTGACAATGTTATTATGAGAGGTTATTGTTGTTCTTTTCAGTCAGGTCGCCGGGTGATGCCAAAAACGCCCCCGGCCGTGCTCAAAATCCCACCGAGACCATGGATCTGCGCGTCGGACGTCCGATACGCCGTTCATTGCGTTGTGTTTGTGGCATGGATCATCGCGTTCGAGGTGGGGAGCGGCGCGCTGCCCTTCTTCTTCCACTTCTTCGGCTCCGAACCAGGTGACTCGACGGGAACGGCTGTGGCCAAGGAAGTCTTCGATCCATTTGAACGGTAAGGCTCTATTTTAGAGAGGAAATGAGTCAAGGAAAGTTGACTAGAATTTGTAGACAACAAGATTTAACGGGGTGTACGATTTTTTGAATATTCATATTATCCATGACAGCTGAGCTAAAATTTTTTATAAATTTTTTTAGGCTGTTAATAGTCTGTTAAACAAATTTTACTAGGTAAATACTGGAATAAACCTTCTTTTAATCAAAAAATCCGACGGTTTGAGAAGATACTGTCCGAGTTATAATACGATCTTCTCCATGACCCTCTAAAATAATATAATTTCAGATATGGAGCTACAATAACAATTACGATGTACTTGTTGCGGTTGATGTCGTTGCTCGTTCTCCCCCAATGCCTGTGCAACATGCTGGGGTTGTTGTTTTTCAACGGGTTTCGTGACAAAGTCGTTTTGAAGGCATCTCCCCTGCTGGCGCCGTTCGTTTGTTTTCGCGTTGTGACGAAAGGCGATTACCCGGAATTGGTCAGAGATAATGTTCGCAAAAACCTGGAGACGTGCTACGAAGCGGGTATTGAGAATTTTATTTTCGAGGTTGTGTCGGACAAGCCGATTCATCTGGTGCAAGGTTCGAGGGTCAGAGAAGTGAATGTTCCGCCAAATTACAGCACAAAAACTGGCGCCAGATACAAGGCCAGAGCCCTGCAGTACTGCTTAGAAAACGAAGTAAGCATTTTAGTAAAGAAAATCCGAAAAAATCGACTTTTTTTTGGATTTTTTGTCATGGATAATATAAAAATTTGATGACAAATCAAATTTCAGGTGAGTATTCTACATGACGATGATTGGGTGGTTCATTTGGATGAAGAAACTTTGCTCTCGGAGAATGTGGTCTGCGGAATCTTGAACTTTGTGACCGAGGGAAAGCATCCTTTTGGCCAGGGAGTTATCACTTATGCCAACCATGAAGTCGTCAACTGGCTGACCACGCTGTCCGATTCTTTTAGGTAAGTATCTGAAAGACGCGTAAGCTTTTTAAAGGAAGTTAAATATACTCCCCGTACAATGTTTTGACCCCCCTCCTAACTCCGTCCAAAGTGTACTAATTCGGACGAAATTTGGTATGTAGTATACTCACAGGCTAGTAACAAAAAATAACATAGCGGGACCTACCTTATAGTTGAATATCAAAATCTAGGGGCAATTTTCAAAAATCACCTTAAAAAATCGAGGAAAAAGTTTTGACCCCCCTTAAAAAACTTTAGATATCGCCAGCGGATGCCACGCAAACTTATTGTAATCGACGTCCCATACCTGAATACAGGTTAATATATGGTTTTCCGTTGAATGCTTCGTTGCATTTGAGTATTCAACGCGTTAAACCGTTTTTGATGTAGATCTGCCCAAAATTGTAAAAATCTTGCCCTAGCGCTTTCCTAGAGCTCTAAATTGGGTTTATATTATGTGCTTTAGGCCTGTATTTACCTTATCCTTTCAATAAAAGTGCATGGTGGCCTGGCGGTGTAGATTCGGCAGATACCCTCTTGTCATGCCCAGCCTTGGTGAGCCATTTACTCTTTGACTCAAGGTCGAGATGTGGTCGTTAGGTCCTCAATGTAATCCTGAGACTCATATTCACCCTCAGTAATGTAAAATGTTTTGATTTGACACGTTTTGTAATGGGTTTCATTCACCTTAATCTTAAGTTTGCCGTTACTGTAGATGACCCCGGGTACTATTACATCCCCACCTCCCATTTGGCGTTTCATACGTCTCAAATGAGTATGGTGGGTGCTGTAGCGTCTTAAATTACCTGGTCCATCAAATGAAAGCCGTTTTTGGTGGCTAAAAATCCATTTGAAAAACGCGGGTTTTTCGTTAAGGTGCAGATCGGCGAAGTTGCGCCTGCAAACCATATGAGACCGTGCCAGCCGGAGTTTATTCTTTGTTAGAGAGTAACTAGGAGTCTCAGGATTACACTGAGGACCTAACGACCACATCTCGACCTTGAGTCAAAGAGTAAATGGCTCACCAAGGCTGGGCATGACAAGAGGGTATCTGCCGAATCTACACCGCCAGGCCACCATGCACTTTTATTGAAAGGAGAAGGTAAATACAGGTCTAAAGCACATAATATAAACCCAATTTAGAGCTCTAGGAAAGCGCTAGGGCAAGATTTTTACAATTTTGGGCAGATCTACATCAAAAACGGTTTAACGCGTTGAATACTCAAATGCAACGAAGCATTCAACGGAAAACCATATATTAACCTGTATTCAGGTATGGGACGTCGACTACAATAAGTTTGCGCGGCATCCGCTGGCGATATCTAAAGTTTTTTAAGGGGGGTCAAAACTTTTTCCTCGATTTTTTAAGGTGATTTTTGAAAATTGCCCCTAGATTTTGATATTCAACTATAAGGTAGGTCAAGCTATGTTATTTTTTGTTACTAGCCTGTGAGTATACTACCAAATTTCGTCCGAATTAGTACACTTTGGACGGAGTTAGGAGGGGGGTCAAAACATTGTACGGGGAGTATAGGTCTTTATGGTAGAATTTTTTGGAATTAAAAAAATTTTTTAGTACCCCAAGTGCGACTCTCAGATTTTGATAAAACTTGGCGCAAATTTAGAATAATTTTTTCTAAAATATATACGAGAATCCTAGCTAGGACTTTGCAGAAACAACCGAGATTTTTAGATCGAAAAGTTGGCGAAAATTTGAGACTTTTTGCCGAATTTCGGCACGAAAAATTTCATGCCTATTTCTACCAGAGAGGGTAATGTTTTCACAAAAAATGAATTTTTTCCGCTCGAAACTAGCAAAGTTATGGCCAAAAAGTGTTTCTCTCTCTGACCGCTCTCCGCGTTTCGCGTACTCTCTCGACGGCAGAAATTGTTCAATATCTCGGCGGCCCCTGCAAAGCGCGAGCTGCAACTTTCAGGAATTTGATATTTAGTCTATGCCGAACATGTGTACAAAGTTTAAAGAAATTCTGAACGTCGCACTTGAAGTACTTCCCTTGTTAACCTAAAGTAAGGTTTTTTTAAAATTTTTTGTTTCCAGAGTCGCTGATGACATGGGGAAACTCCGATTCACCTTCTCCTGCTTCCACAAACCCCTCTTCGGCTGGAAGGGATCGTTTGTGGTCACTCAAGCCGGTGCCGAACGTCGTGTCACCTTCGATCACGGGATGGAGGGATCCATTGCTGAGGACTGCTTCTTCTCGATGATCGCCTATCGGGATGGCTACACGTTCGACTTCATCGAAGGAGAGATGTATGAAAAGTCTCCGTTCACTTTCTGGGACTTTCTGCAGCAACGGAAACGCTGGCTTCAGGGCATTTACCTCACCGTACATTCGAAGCACATCCCGTGGAAAAACAAGATTCTCTTGGCGTTGTCACTCTACGCTTGGGCCACGATGCCGCTCACAACGTGTCAGGTGAGTCAGTAAAGGGTTTGGAGGAGTTTGGAAAAAGGAGGATGCAAATTGAGTCATTATGACGCAATTTTTGTAAATTCGAAGTATTGAGGGATGATTTAAAAAATTTTTTTTTAAGATGTCGCATTTAGGTATTCTTGTGTCCATTATTCCCACTGCCCCGATGGCCAGTCACGGACGCCATGGTGGCTCTGATTGCGGCCGTCAACTTGTACATGTATGTGTTCGGAGTGCTCAAATCGTTCTCCCACAAGTACCGGTGAGTTTTTTATTCTTGGTTTTTGGCTTTTTAGGAGCTTGTTGATGTCATAATTGCTGCGGAAAAGATTTTAAGCCCTAGTGTCTACTTTCAGTATTAGATTTTTCAATTTTTATATTAGGTGTACCTAGTGTAATATAAATTTTTGATTCCTTTTAGCTCAAACTTCCTTCGCCTGGTCTTGTATCTGCTGGCTGGCATTGTAACCGTCCCATTCAACGTGCTCATCGAGAACACGGCGGTGGTAATGGGGATGTACGGCCAGAAGGACGAGTTTTACATTGTCAAGAAGGATCTTCACATTATCGATGTTTGACTGGGAACTGAGTCGATTTAAAGACGTTAAATTATTACTGACTCTTCAGTCGTTCACATTGCTCACAAATCTAGGTTCTCGAATTGTTTTGGGCCCCGGTTCGGGGCCGTCTAACACCAAGGATAATATCCGAAAAATCTAATTCTTTCTTCGCCCCCCTATACTCATATTGTATATCAGTTTTACAATTTTTCGAATAGTCGGCAGGTATGTGTGTGCACAAAATTGTGGTGCAGCTGACCCGGGAAGAAGCCCTTCTTTCTCTGCCAATCTCCGAAACCCCCGCACTCTCTCGGTTTCCCCCATTTTTAAGCAAGCTTTTAACCCTCTTTTTCGTACTGCTCCTCTAAGAATACTATTGTAATATCGAACGCTCGGGTGTCTCTGTTCCTCTCTTAACTTTAACAATCCATCATTTTGCTAACTTACTCAATTTTCATATTCATTTCCCCCATGTTGTATTCTGTTCTTAACCCGGAGGAAATAACGTCACAATGACCGATTTTCTGGACATTTTCTCTTGTCAGCATGACGCCCTCCCCTCTTATCTAACGTGCTGTGATCTCTGTCCCAAGTTTTGCCCCTCGCCAAATTGAACAATAAATTTATTTCGTATGTTAGACATTGGTTCGAAGAAATGTAAATAGCACTGGTTAGAGTACTCCACGTCAATCCAGCGCATTTCCTGAACCGTTTCGAAACTTCGTACCGTTTTCATCGGTTTAAAAGAGAGACGAGATGTCGCGGAATTATCGGCACTTTTTCTCGCCGAAAATAATTGCTTTTTCTCGAAAAGGAAGGAAAAAGATAAGAAAATGCGTTTTATCGGATAGTGACATTTCGTTTTGAACGAATCACCAAAACGGGCGGGAAATTTTTTCTTCTATTTTGGATTGACGTGTACTCTAATTTCATATGAAATTGGTTTTTAATATTGATAAAGGATGTATTTGGAAGTTATTAGGAATAATATTAGCAGAAAGGGGGTTCCTGAGGTATTTCTAAGCGTTATATTATGTTAGACATCAAGTGTAATGTAAATTTAGTCCAGATTTTGGCGAAGACCTTATTTCTGGTGCTTTAATTTGGCTTGCTCTCTTTTGTATTTCTCCAGCCACGCTGCTGTCGAGGAGGGATCGATGGAGACGTAGTTCAGCGACGATGCCGGCTGTTTTTGTTCTCTGTGGTCGGCCGATCTGTTCTTGTTGGCAGATCGGCCCGAGGCGCGGGTTCGGCCTCTTTCGAAGACAATCCGATCGTTGAGCTCGGATTGGATGGACATCTGAGAACCGAGGTCATCTTCTTCGATGAATTGGGATTGAATTCGAGGCAAAGAAGATTGGATTAAAAGTTGGTGTTGGACTGGCAAAGAGACGGTGGAGATTCCGCGCGAATGGGGAGGGGAGGAACGCTTGGATTGGACGGAATCGGTGCGCGAGTTCTCTTCCACTTCCTGAAGAATAAGATCCTGTATTTTTGAAAGCTTTTTTATCATTAAAAAAAGCGAAAAAGTGTTGGAAAGTTTCAAAAGATAGTCGTAAATGTCCTCATATTTGGAGGCCAGAAATTAGCGTCTAAATGCGACTAATCTGTATATAGGAGATATTTTTTGACTGTATTGTCCTGATTACACAATGGCTTGATAGTATTTTCCTTGGCAGTGACTTACAGGAAGAGTAGCAGTGCTTTTTTCGTATCCCCCAATGACACTTCCTTGATAGGCACTCCCCGTGTAAATGGCTGTATTGAAGGAGGTCCGGTCGTCCGAGACTGTATTCGTAATCAGCGTGTTGATGGACTCTGTTGGTGTTCTAAAAAAATCTTTTTTATAGCAGTATCCAAATATAAAAGCTACGTATTTTACCCTGAACTTACACTGAATAGGCGACTGTTTTGTGAGGCTTGGGCATTTTCACCGGGACTGTTTGGTACGCCGAGCCCGAGGAAGTGTCGGTGGAGCTGACCGAGGTCACGGACCGTCTCTTCTCCTTCTCTTTCATCTTCTCTCGCTGTCGTTGAACAGCTGTTTCCAATCTCGTGGATGAGGAGACGGAATGATCAAAGCGTCGATGGTGGGTTGTGGAGTTGGGAGAGGTGTCGGAGGTGGGGATGGCGTCAAAAACACGAGCAAAAGTCTCGCTGTCCTCATCGGCGTAGCCTTTGGTTGTGTTGTCGCCGTCGTATTGCTGAATAATTGGGATGAATTAAGCGAATTCTGGATGATTTTTATATCATTTAAAAAACGTTTTCTCACCTCAAACGATCCAGAAACTGCATCCAAAAGTTTCTTTTTCAACGATCTTCGAACCGGAGTATCAACTGTTCGCCCGAGCAGTGGGATATTTACATTCGGTCGGACCAGCCCCATAGTATTGGCAGCCGGTGTGTTGCTCGTTTTTGGAGGCATAAACATACTCGTTGACACTAAATTCTCCTGAGAAATGGAGGTCTGAACAGTCTCCGCTGTGGCGTAGACTTTCTCATGGGACAGTTGACTCTCCTCGTTGGAAAATGAGGAATGATCGGCGTGATCTTGCTCGTCCTCCTGGAATCAGAGGAAAAATTAATTTTTTTTTGTCCATAAAGTCCGTAGAGTAAAAGATTTGCAAAACAAAAGTAATAGGTCGGAAATCGAGGTCCCTCTGTTTTACACTCAAAACAAACATGTTAACCAAGCGATATGGCCATGAAAATAAATCACCTAGGGCAGAAAACTACGGGGAATTTAATGGTGGAAAAGTTATGTGGCTACACCTCAAGGTTTTCGCGGCAGGACCCATGGAAAAAAGTTTCCATTTTTTGGACCACAGACCCCAAACTCACCCTAATCACGGGCTGCACCGCATGCCCCGAGGGTGTCTGACTGTTCTGGCGCCGATGGACAAAGTTGAGAGAGGGATGGATGGATTGGATGGAGCCAGTCCGACCCGCGGACCCGTTGTTGCTCATGCTGGTCAGTAGGCCTGACGGGTCCATCGGGTGCACGTTGAAATACTGACGGTCCGCGTCGTCAAAGGTCTCGAACTCGCTGAAAAGCTGGAGTAAAGTACGATAAGTTTCTTTGGGTCAAAACTTAAAAATTCAATTTCCTCAAGGACCCCTCAAAAATTTGAAAATTATAATAGCTCCAAAAGAAAACAAAAAAGATCCGCCCACCTTGGCATGGTCGTAAGCGCACTAGCCATGGAGGTTTGTTGCATTAGCGAGGTTAGACTTTGGGCTACAAATAAAGAGGAAGGTAAAGAAAACGGCATAAACCCCCGGACTTACACTGGGCTTGTTGTTGGGCGGCGATCTCTTCGGCGGTCAGCTCTACAAAGACTCTGAGATTACCAGTAACAATTAGGCATTTGTTATTACTAATGATCTGCTTTCTATTCCTACTGCGACTTACCTGTAGGCCCGGTATTTACATAATGATGGATCAGACTTCCCGCTCGATCTGTGGCGTAATTTCTCCGCGGCGGCAGTGGCAATGTCTGAGCCGGCGTAGTGGCGATTGTCGGCGTATTGCTCCGAGGCAATTGTGCCAGCATTGGCATGGAGTTTGTGATAAAATCAGCGGGCCTAGGCCTGCTTGAATGGCCATTCCCATGAGTCAAATGCATATGAGAGGGATGGGCTTGAAGAACGCTGACGTTTGTGTGAATGGAGTCCGAGGGGTTCGGAATGGGATTTACGAATTGATCGGGCTTCAGCAATAGCCTTAGGGTACGATGAATTTGAGCTGTGTGATCGCCGGAAAAGGAAAAAGAATGGGGCTTCAGCCAGGTGCGAACTGAAGCCTCGAAAGAGAGCTCGCCTTCAGAACATTCAACTTTGCCGAGGGAACGGAGCGAGAGGCAGACGATCTGCAGGGGAGGAGAACCTTGGACAACTGTCAGCATTGTCTTCTGAAAACGTAAATTATTAGGCTTTTTCCACACAAGGCACGACTAACGCAAGCTTCTGGAAACGTTCGATGCGTTATCGGCATTTTTCCTGACATTACACGTACAGAATAAAGTTTCCCGCAAGTCACCTTTTCTTAAGATGAAGTTGGTTATCTTTGAAGCTTTATAAAAACCGTTATATAAGGCCTTACTGTACAAAACGTATATCATTAGATAGCGTTTTCAACGTTGTTTCATAGCATATAAACAGAAATTGCAAGATTATATTCCAACCTGTAAAAAATGCAAGACAAAAAAAACGGCCTAGTCATACTTTTAGACCTAATATTTATGACAAATTGGGTATGGGCAAACATGTTCTTTGTCTACTCTAAGCTTTACATCGATATGTACACGCCAGAGATAAAAGCCAAAAAAATTAAGCCTTTAAACAACTCTTACCGTTAAATGAATTCTCACTTCATTCCCCACCAATTGCAGCGTCGCCGTCCTCGACATGTGATTGACATGCATGCAGAAGATGAAGCCTAAGATTGTAAGGGCACTGAGACAAAGTATTCAACCTACTTCTCCCACAAATATCTCGAAGCCACTCCTTCCACAACACCATGCATTCTCCTGTCCAAAACGAGAGGACGAGGATTCTGTTCTCCATAATTAGAGCTAATGTTTTGGTGGTCCGGCCAGCTTTGAAACCTGTAAAATGATGGTTGATGGATGAAAAAAAACTGTGTTTTATTAACACAATGGTAAGCTATTCGTATTTTAAAAATAAATTTTATTTTGGTTGCTAAAAAGTTATTGCTACACTCATGCATAATATACTAGTCGGCGCAAAAAGTCTTTGGAATTTTTCGCGGCCCCCAAATCCCGTCGCACTCCGAAATGTCGATTTGTCGCTGAGAAAAGTGGGAATCGCGCGCGACAATAAGGCAAAATCAACAAAATTCCACAATGCAAAAGCACTTTTTGGGCCGGATGCACGGTGCAAAATGTGTTTTCGGGTTCGCGCACAGTGCAGAGTCGCAGAAAATTCCAAAGACTTTTTGCGGCGACTGATACTATAGGGAACATGACATCAAAACGTGCCCAAAGAGCTCCATTTTGAAACCAATTTTATAACTTTTGACTTGCAATCTGACTCAAAAATGTTTAGTCATTATAAAGAACCCAAAAATCGCCGCTTACCATACTCATATCCAATGTAATTCTGCATGTAAAACAGCTCCAGATGCTGCCCTTTTTCCCTTGTTTTGTCATTTTTGAACAGCCCAATTAACGGGGCTTCCGCTCCATTCCTTCGTTGGCAGACAACATAGCGGTTTAGCCACTGAAAACATCACAAATTTATAGGGCTATTGGCCAATCTCACACTTGAAAGTTGATGACAAAAGGTCACTAGATACGATTACAGAACTTACCTTATTTTTGTAGAGTACTCTTCCTGGAGATTCAATTCTCAAGCCGCCATCGAAGAGGACGGCGTTTTGACGGCTTTGGAAAAAGTTGCACCACATGACGGAGATTGTAAACTACGCTGTGTACAGGGTTCTATGTTCTATTTTTGAATAAATAAAAAATTTTCAACTTTTTGCAACTATTTCTCCATTGTAAAGTTCTTAAAGAGTAATCAAAAAATTTAAATTTCTTCCTGAAATTTTTTCAATTAAAAATTCGTAAAATAAAATTAAAAAACAAGAGATAAATGTCGGTAAAAATTCGCGATTAGGTAAAAAATAAAAAAGAGACGGTCAAAAACCGGAAATTCGAAGCCGCCAGAGGCTATCAATCTGAAGGTCGGACACTATTTTATTAACAATTTAGGCTGGTTGTTTGTTAACAGCCAAGAAGTCAAATAAAAAATTAATCAAATTTTGAAAATTGAAGAAAATGTAGAGATTCCAACAACGATTTGGGAAGACAGGCTGATCTGGAGAATGGAAAAAAGTTCTTTAAACTCTCTCAAATGAAAAAGGTCAGACAATCAAGGGAAAAGAATTCGAATGATAGCCAGTCAACTGAACATTCGCGGGTGGAAAGATGGAGATTCTTGAGCAGCGAGAAGAGGAAGTTACTAATTATTATAAATAGGGTCAAGCTTCTGTAAAACCTGTATATAACAAACGATTTCAGATGCCTAAAGAGCCCATTCTAGGCCGAAATGAACCTCCGTATAATGAAACCTTCCTATAATGAATTAATTTTTAGGTCCGTTATAATTTATTGCTCAAGTATTTGATTTTTTAGGATCTATGATAAATTATGGCAACTGTCCAAGATGCGTATTTTACAACAATTTTTTAAGATTAAAACAGCAAGTCGGATAATCCAAATCATCATTAAATGATCCAGACAGAAGCTAAAAAAATTGGCAAAGCTTCGAAATTTTAATGCAAGTATGTAGACGTAAGATCGATCATTTTTGATGATCTTTTTTTTAAACAAAATGGCAACTACTAAGGAATATGTAAAATGAGCTATTGCTCATAAAAATTGAGCAATCCTATAAAAAGTTATAAGCATTTTACATCCGCGAACTTAGCTGAACCACCCTGTACATCAAATAACTTTTGAGAGCTGCTGTTTTATAATTATAATACAAGTTTGCTGTTAAACATACTAAAAGAAACAACAACGTATTTTACAACAAACTGTTCGCTATTAATCAAAATTCTGTATTTTAAACAAATTTTTTGTATTGATAACGGTTATAAAAAAAGTATCTGTAAGCCCATTTTTAGAGTTATTCATTATAAAACAGGGCCTAAAAAAGGGGAAACATTCAATTAAAAAACAAACTGTCAGCATATAAAGCCCTTGCAAGTGTTCGCAAACGAGTAGCCAGCCAACTCATTGCCCTTTCCATGCCTTCTCCCACCTTCTCCTTCAAACAGTAGTCTCCGCTTTCCATCATTAAAAAAGTTTCAAACTTGCCATTTATTTCCTGAGGCGAAGTGACGACGATTTGATCGCTTCACCAAAAAGGGGAATTCATTTTTGTTTCGGGTCATCGATATATTAAAGCGGACTTCCGTCGCCCCTCTGCTTATCCGCTCTCCTCATTCCGCACACTCTTTTTTATCAGAGCGAATCGACGGCGCCGATCCATCGATGGAATTTTTTCGTGTAGAAGTTTTTTCAGGCGATCAAAATAGGTGAAAAATAAAGATTTATGATATTCTCCAAACGGGATTAACACGGCGAATGAAGGGAGAGCGCGGAGAAGAAGTTGGGGGTGGTAATTGCAATCAACATGGCTTTCGGAGGGATGACAAAACGATGGATGGAGTTGCAGAGATCAGTTGTAAAGTGTGAGTGTAGGAGAAAGGTGGGAAAAAATGCAGGACAAGTGTAAAATGGACACAGAAAGAAGGGACATAAAATAATTTGAATAATGCATTTTCCAAAGCAGTTTTTTTTCTATTGCATTCACACTTTATCCATGTAAAATACGGTATCTGTAATGCTTTGAAACTTCTTCTTCTTATTTTTCAAGGAACATTTTCAAATCTAAGAGTCTTTCAAACCAGTCTGTCTGGAAAATAATGTGAATTCATCGCTCCTTGGAATCGCCCGCCCATCATCGTTTTTTTGACGCCTAGCCGCGGCTGGAAATCTGATGCGCGACTGCGAAACATTTGCTCCGAAAAATCCACATATTTTCCCGACACACCGATAGTTCTATTTGTTCATCTGCTACCTCCAGGGGTCTTCTTCAGCCATAATAAAATCTTAAAATTCGAATTTAAATTCTCCTATAAGAATATGGTAATGACGAATTTCTCATTACACTAACTATTCCTATCAAAGTAAATGTCTATAGAATGTCGACTCATGAGAATGTCATCTATTCAAATGAAAGGTCCTTTTTCAAATTCTCACCTCCACAAAGGTCATTTATTCATATTTATGACGCACAGAAATGATCGGACAGAAGCCCCTCCGGGCCTCACATATCTTTTAGATTTTCCTCGAGGAAAGTATGCTAACTCTTTTCGTTTTTACTGTACTGACTTCTCTCGTTGCTGCCGAAAGATTTGCGGTTTCTGGGCGAGTTTATTGCCCGCTGGATGAGCCGTTGGATCCGTATACAATTGGGAGAGTTCAGGTGAGAAGTTGGATAAATTGGTCATCGAGCATTTCTGCAAGCAGGCAGGAAAGTTGTGGTTAATTAAAACCACGTGTTTTACAGCTAATTTCCTTGACTGAAAGCGTCTGAAATTGTATACAAAACTCTGTATAATTTCTCAATTTTTGGCTCTGAAATTTGATGATATCGGGGAAATGACCAAAGATTGCTATAAAGAGAATTATTCCAAGTGCGACGCTCAGATTTTCTTGAAATTTTGGGCACACCTCTGACATGTTCCACATATCAATTCCTGTAAATTTTAGCTTGCGTTTTGCAGGGGCAGCCAATATATTCAACAATCTTTGCGGCCGAGAGAGCACTGGATACACCGCCGTGTAGAACGATCATAGAGAAGAACACTATAACTAAATTCTTTCAGATCTACGAACACGATAGTCTCCCCTTGGATCAGCATGATTTTATGGGAGAAACGGAGCTCTCCCAAAACGAATTCCACAACATTATCTTCGACGAATCCGAGGTCACGGGCATCCAACCATTGGCTGTTGTTCTCCACGATTGCCATGAACAGCTGAGACTGGAGAGAAATCGCCCGAGGAAAAGCGGATGCAAAGCGGTTACGGAGCACTTTTTTGATGCCCCTCAGGGCAATGAGATCTTTTTGGAGATCGATTTAAGGAATCAACTGAGTAGCTTGCATTGCCAAGGGAACAGCAATAGGATCGCATTTGCTTTTAATGATGATGTGGAGGGATCAGGCGAAAATGGAGAGAATTGGAGTCATTTGGAGAGGATTCTGAACATGACGAAGGAACATTTCTCTGAGTTGAACAACGAAACCCATGTTTGATCAAAGATAATATAATTTATTGATGGAAAATAAAAAGTTTTTGTAAAATACGGCGTAAGTTATTAAATTTTTGGTAGAGAATTTCAAAAAATGTATTTTTTTTTGAGTCATAAGGCCAAACTTTATATTTTCGAATAAAAATTTTTAGGCCATTTCTCATCAAAAAAATTTTATTTTGATTGAAGGTGACGATGAGAAGAAAGATGTATGGCTCTCGATTTTTAATCGCTTTCAGCATACTTTATTATTGCCAGAAAGCTGTGGAATGACGGATTATGAATTTTATATCCATTTTTTGCATCAAGAACCTGGATTGTTTTGCAAAGCGAACTTTGCAGATCATCCAGAAAGGACGTGTTTTTGCGGTTGTACTTGAAAAACTTAGTTTAGTAGGGCACTAGCTTTGCAGTAAATTCTGTGAATATTTATTAGTCCGCGGGCTTACTTTTCGAGGTTTTTATAAGGGTTTTTTGAGCATCTATAAATGGCAGGCTAATGTGGCAAAATGCTGCCAAGTGAAAAAGTGAAAAACCTACGATTTCAATAGCGCGGCCGCTCTTTTTGTGAGGAAATTCTTCAAAACGAAGTTTTTTCTCTTGGAGAGGGAAGCATTTTGCCACATTTTTTATGTTTTCCGGATGTAAAATGGTACGTTTTTTGCCACTGGATCAATCCCGCCACTTTATAACAATTAACTTCACAAATTTGGGCTTCAAAATTTGGAGTGCAAATGCCAAAGATCAGTACGGTGTGCACCGTGATACTTGGTGGACAAAAAATGGTGTCTCAGCTTCAATTTGATATAAATTTTGTCGAAATTGGTGCACTATTTGCGAAGAAATACTTGAAAAATGGTTGGACGCTTTGAGTGGCCCACCCAATACAAGAATTTTTGATGAATTAGAATATTCAAATTTCCCTTTCTTTCATCTTCCTTCTTTCTTAAAACCCGCCAGACTTTGATTAATGACCCCTCGCATCCAGTTTTATATGCTCTTGGTTCGAAACCAGTGTAAGAAGACATTTGTTTTTATGTGGCCAACAAACAACTGACCTCCCGTTCCCCCTTTTTCTCACATTTTCCCCAATTTCTTGGGCCCTTCCATTTGGTCCCCTCAGGGCTTCTTGGACGTCTGTTTCTCCGAAAAATATTTTAAAATGTTTTGGGGGCATTTCCGGGGTTTTAATTAGGATCATTTGAAAATAAAGTGGGGGCTAATAATCAAAATAAAAATAGGGGAAACAGGACAGTTGGGAAATTATTTTATGACGTAAAATTTTAATGCTATATTGAAGCATTGCATGGGGAAATGGCGTGCCAAAAATGCGTGAGTGCTCTATGGTCTAGCTATTAAGAAAATTATATAGAATTGAATTAATCTGCAAATTATTATTCAGGAATTTATTAAAATTTGACGTAGATTAAAATTGGAGTGGCGGCATTTTGAGGTGTTTTTCTCTCACCGCATTTCTGTCTTATCATAAATGACTGGTTAATATCTCAGCCGCTTCTGCAAAGCAATGACTAAAATTTTTAAGACTTGAAATGTGACCAGGGGGCGAAACAGGGCGGTAAATTTTTTTTCCAAATTTTTAATATCATTTTGAATACGGAATCTCTCAATACCATATCTCTATTAAAACATCGGCTAAACTTCCAGTTATTTTGAAAATAATGCCTTGCTTTTTAGGCATTAATACTATCGCTTATAGCCCAAAATTTTCGACTCGTACTTAGGATACTGCCCTTGCAAATTACATACCAAGCGCGTACAAAACGTTATAGTAATTGAACTGAAGGTAGAATTATGTGTGTAATATGTATATTTAGCAAGTGTTAAAAATTTTGAAAGGAATTTGAGACTCGATAGACTGTATTTTCTAAGATTACAATATTTGGAAAAGCCCCTATACAAAAATTTTGGGAGGTTCCAAACTTGTCTGCTCACAGGGGAAGTACTCCAAGTGCGACGCTCAAATTTTGGTGAAACTTGGCACAAATTTAAAATAATTTTTTATAAGTTATATGTGAGAATCCTAGCTCGCGCTTTGCAGAAAAAACCGAGATTTTTAGATCGAAAGTCAACAAAAATTTAGGAGTTTTTGCCGAATTTCGGTACGAAAAGTTTCATGCCTATTTCTACCGTAAAGGATAATGTTTCTACAAAAAATCAAATTTTTCCGCTCGAAACTGCCAAAGTTATGGCCAAAAAAGCGCTTTTCTCACTGACCGCTCTCCACGTTTAGCGTGCTAAAAAATCGTTCGATATCTCGGCGGCGCCCGCAAAGCGCGAGCTAAAACTTTCAGGAATTTATATTTAGTCCATACCCGATCTGTGGGCAAAGTTTAAAGAAAATCTGAGCGTCGCACTTGCAGTACTTCAGCACGGGCTTTGCTCGCAACTCTCTTGCTGCCTATATCTTCCAAATCCAAGACAAACAAAAGACTATCAACGTCTTCTAAATAATTTATCCTCCTCCTAGACACCTCTGACAATCTCCTTTCCCCTTTATTCACATTTTTTACACCTCGTTGTTTACACTTTCCAAAAGAAATGTGATAAAGTCCAAATCTGCTTTGCCAGGGATAAGCTTTTTGTTTACACACTTTTTCGTAAAAAAAATTCCAACGTCAGGAGGCAATAGACATCGCTTTTTTTTACTTTTTACGGCAGGTAAATCTACATACTCTTTTTATTTCCATGCAATGCGACAGGTGCTGTGCGTATGTCCAGGGTTTGGCTAATTTTGAAAATATAGTTTTGGGAGGATAACATTCCTTTTTTGGGAGTATAAACATGGTTTCGTAGAAAAAGGAGGAATGTTTTTGAAAAGTTTGTTTTAGTTTTCCGGACAGGGATGAGGATGTATATGAATGTTTTTGCTTTGACGCATTGTGGGGGCTAATGTTTTTGTCAGGAGTAAGGGATATTGCTTTGAGGAGTAGCTGGGAGACGGGTAGCCGAGGAGAGACTGGAATTTGAGAATTGTTTTTGTCGAAATTGGCATAACATATCTGTTGATACGGAATGGATAGTAGACAACTCAAAACAACTTCTTTTGTTTGAAGTGTTCTTCTACAGTAGGATGAGAAATTGTACCAACAAGATATATTGAAGGCTTGCAATAGTTTTCTGAAATTTTTTTTATTAATATCGATAGTAAAATACGCTTCCCCATTGGTTTTTTCTCATAAATTTTACGTTTTTTTCAGTGAAACTAAGAAACCAATCACCATTTTTTCAGAAAAGTCAATTTTTAAAACAAAATTTAGATAGCCAAACTCAAGAATATATTTCTTCTGGTCTCCCATAATGTTCTGTGCCCTCAGGCAAAATGAAAGTTTGATATCTCTACTTTCAAAATGAGGGCTAAATTAACAAAAACTGAGACGTTACTGTACAAAGAACTCTCGTACAGCAAAGCCTGTGTATTTACAATTCCAGAAATTGATTTATTTTAGGTCAAAACGAACCTCTATACAACGAAACCCGTCTATAAAAAATAAGATTTTTTTGTACCCTTGCCTAATTGATTCACTGTACAGAGATTTAAGTATACAAGGTCTGGCCGGTTCAGAACACACATATTTTATATGTATGTTCTGACATATATTATATTCCATATTTGCCGAAAATATTGCAGTCATATCTTTCATGCCTCCCTATCAATTTATAAAGAACAAAAAAATACATATTATACTTCAACTTGTTCCTCCTCCCACGCTCTTTTTACCCAAGGAATATATAAATCCAGCTCAATAAAAATCTCGCAGCCATCTTTGATTGATCCTTTCCATACCTATCGCCTTTTTCAGACTGAAGCATTACGCGATTTACACTTTTATCGCCTCCCCAGCGCATCCCTTCTTCTCCATTCATCCGGCTTTCCAAAAAACTGTTTTTTGGGAAGAGCAAAAATAATTTTGGTCAGTGGGTCGCGCGTCAGATTGCGTCCGCAATTTTTTGCCCTCAAAAAGAGCGATCCGCGAAGAGACTATTGGGAGAAGGGAGGGCGGCAGAGAAAATAAAAAGGAGCAATATTCGTTTGATTGTTGTTTGGCGCTTTGGAGACGAACTTTTCCTCTGATTTAAACCTGTTTTCGGCACGTTGCATCGTTCTTTTTGTTTCTTAAAGTTTGGGGTTTTAATTTGAGGGATTTTTTCGAATTTCCCCTGCGGCGATTTTGTCTGTTTTGTCTTAGAAATGCGGGGGGAAATCACTTTATTGGATCTTTTGTTTGTTTGTGCAGGTCAATTGGAGGCGCCGTTGTAATTCTAGACGTCTTAGTGTGTCGGATTCGGCGGGTTTCTTATGCAAATTCTTTATGAAGATTTTTAAAATGTTTTTAATTTTTCCAAGAAAGAATTTCTTGTTTGTAGCTACTTTATAACTGCTTTTTTTCAGTTTGCCCTTTGGCTTGTGCTGTAATAAAAGAAAAAACTTTTTTGTAGGTGCAATCGTTTTTTTAGAAGTCGTAAATTTTTTGCATACAAACGCTCGAACTGTAAGGTTTTGATAAAAGTACAATTGGCAGAGAAAATCTTTCGATTATAATTGAGTTATAGTCATTATTGTAAGGGTGTCCCATAAGTCTTGCAATTTTTGGGTCGTCGATTTGTGCGAATTCTTGTAAGCTTTGAAACGCATTACGGAGTAAGTTGGATATATGGCTTTGAAGCTCACACAAGGCGCTTCTAAATCATATATGACAAGGCCACATAAGGTCCACCTGCTACCCACACTGCCCCAATATTATACTAGACCTTAAGACAAATTTTGTCTGCTGATTTTAAAATGGACATACATATGCTTTCTAAGCCTTGGATTTACATAGAACTTGGGGTGAAATATGGGCTACTTTTTTCGAAAGATCAGGGTTGTATCCACATACATATATGTATGCATATATTCGCTAATGACGATTTTAGGAATGCGCATACACTTGCAGGGACAGCTGAGATATTCAGCGATCCTTGACGAAGGCGAGAGACAGTGTA